CGAGCTGAGGGAATACGTCTGGGGCGAGGTTCCTCGTCCTCTACCGGACGGGTTTAACTGTAGGGTCAATGTTAAGTTTATGAGTTATTAATTTAGGGTCTATGCCAGGCATCTCTACCGCCGATCAGAAGAAAACATCTAAGTTATTTAGTAAGAAACTTACCAGTTCATATCGCACGGTTCCACTAGGCAAGCTCTAATTTGAAGTGTATTTTCGGGCTCCATTCTATAGATCGAGATTGCAATAGTTTCTTCTATCAGGCGAGCTCTTTCTTTAGTATGTTTCGGTGGTGGTTCCAGGTCTATGTCAGCGGCTACCTTGCCCTTGGCTTTCAAAGATGCTACATAGCACTTCTTGAACTCCAACTGGTCTCCTCACAACACTTTGCCCTTGGCTTTCAAAGATGCTACATAGCACTTCCTAAACTCCAACTGGTCTCCTCACAACACTCCTATGCCTATGTCTGTTGGGAACTTTAGTGTGAGGTGGTACGTTGAGACTACAACTTGCAAGGCATGTAGGATTAGTCGCCCCAAAATTGCGTTGTACGGCGACGAGGTAGCTACCACTAGAAAGTCGTGTTCAAAGCGTACCATGTGGCGAGGCGAGCCCACCTCAACCAGCACCCTCACTTTGCCAACTAGGTGAACTACCTCGCCGTTGAAACCTACCAGTGGTATATCTGCGGGCTATAGGTCGGCCTTGTCGAGCTCCATTTTCTTGAAGGCTTTCTATAAACAAGATATCTATCGAGCTGTTGGAATTTACTAGAATCCTTTTTACTTTGAAGTCATTTATCAACAGTTTTACGAATAGGGCATCATCGTGTGGGTACTGGATCCCACGCATATCATCATCAATGAAATAAATCAACTCCTCTTTCCGAAGTCGTTTGGTCGGATTACTGCCCTCTTGTTCCAATTCTCTTCCTGCATTTCTACTTGCCGATGTGGTGCAACCTGCTACTATTGATCCTCCCGTGATTACATTTATGGTCCCTCGGACTTGCCTCTCTTGTGGCTGCTGGTTTTGGGGAGCTGCCTCCTGCTCCCTATTTGCCTGGGGTGCTTCCCTACTAGTTCCTTCTCTAGGTTGTCGTCCTTCTTTAATGAAGCACCTCAGGTAGCCCCTCTTGATGAGGTCTTCGATCTCATTCTTTAAATTCTAACAATGCTCAGTATCATGTCCTATGTCTTTGTGGAAATGGTAAACTTATTTCGGTTCCGAGTGGTGGGATCCCCCCTTCATCTTGGGAGGCCATTTCACGTAGTCATTTGATTGGATTTGCGTCAAAATCTCCTTCATCTTAGTGTTCAATGGGGTGAACGTCCTAGTGTACACTGGCGGTGATGTTGGTCGTCTACTTGACCCCCTAACCAGCGACTTGCTCTTTCAGCGCGACGAGCTGCTGCACCTTCCTCTAGGCGACCTGCTTCTCTTTGGAGACTTACTCCTTCGTTTGGTTCTGCTCATACTCACTTCATATTTAGTTTGTTTTCTCTTCTCAACTTGGTTAGACTCTAATCCCACTGCTTCCTCTGCCTTGATGAATCGATTAGCGACGTCGAGAAACTTGTCCATGGTAGCTGGTGGGTGTAACTCAGGTTCCCACTTCAGCTTATGATGTTGTACCCCTTATTGCCCGCAATAAGCTGTACAACGGGATCCCGGTTGGGGATCTGCAGGCGCTCCATGTTGAACCTCTGAATGTATTCTCTCAGGGTTTCATTCAGTTTTTGGACGATGTTGAACAGACAGATTGTGACTTGGAGCATCTTTTACTGGTTGCAATTTGGTTGATGAAGAGTTGGTCCTAGTTCTTGATAGAATTGCGGGGGGAAGCCTGGAGTACCAGAGCCAAGTCTCCTCTTTCAACATTGTTGGGAACACTATGCACATGCTTGCATCATTGTCTCCATGGAGAAGCATGAGTGCCTGAAAGCTATTGGCGTGCTTTGCTGGGTCTGTCTTGCCCTTGTAAGATTCTAGGGTTGGGGCCCAAAAGTTCTTTGGTCTTGGTGCCTTGAGGATCTCTGGGGCCAATGACGTTTCTTGGCTTAGATAGGATGGTCCGGAAGGGGAAGCCAACCTGCTGGTAGCAACACTGTTTTCTCCATGCTGCGCTTCATTGCTCATGCGGGCAAGCTAAATCTTTTGTCCAACATGGTGCGTGCGCTTCCTGTGTTTCTTCTTGGTACCTTCACTCGAACTGGCGTCTTTGGTTCCAGTAGGAACCTTGGCCTGGCTCTCCACTGGAACCCGATCATTTCTAATTGCACTGTCGACGTGGCCTTGGTTGTTGATTCTATCAGGAACCTGAACCTGGCTACGAATTTGAGGGTGAGCTGGGTCTTAATGGTTGACCTGGTTCAGGTCGTTGTTTTGGGGAAGGGCCTGCTGGCTGTTTCTGGGTAGTTCCTGATTGTTGTGTGGTTGCTGTTAATTGTTCTGGCCTATGGTGATAGTGGGGATTTGGCCATTGACATTGTTGTGAATGGAAGGATTGTTTGAGGATGCCATTGATGGATCTTCTGGAAAGAATAAATGAAGGGAACACTAGCTTTTCACTATGTTTCCCACAGACAACGCTAATTGGTGATGCACAACCTGCACGCTCTCTAGTGTCTTGTGACTAGGCTCGAACAAGGTACTGATCTGGCAGTGTCGAGATGATGTCTGTGCGTCCGAACTGGAAGGAACTATAAAGAGAGAAGAGCAAGAGTGCCTGGGTAGTTTTTACTCGAGGAACACTTTGATGCTTAAGTCAGTATGGGATTCTTGATGAGAATGTGTGAGAGAGCTCAAGTACTCTAGTGCGCATAACTTTTTTTGGTGGATTCAAAGCCCTTTTATAGTTACCTGGGGTTCAGGTGCCTTAGGCAACACCTCTGAGTCTTTGGCAGAGCTGTTTCCACAATACAAGGCATATGCGCTACAAGAAAAATGATATATAGTGGCGTGAAAACACCATTAAATGTAGGTAAAAGTGCCACTATAGGCTTTAGCGGCATTTCTAAATTGCGCCACCGACACCTGTGTCGGTGAAAGTATTAGTGGCGTTTAATCATTTTTTTTTTTGTGGCACTTGTATGGATGCCAATAAATCTTATTTTTAATGGCGTTTATCTGCTCTTTAGTGGCACTTAGACAAATGCCAATAAAACTTATATTTAGTGGCGTTTTGTCCATCCTTTAGTGGCATTCTCAAACACAATACTTAATTTTAATAGCAGCGTTTATTATTACATTTAGTGGCAGTTCTTAGTGCCACTAAATAGAAACTCGTATAGTGACATTTATAAGCGTTGCCACAAGAGCCAACCCAGTGATATGTTTTTTATAAACAACACTTTTAAATGCCACAAAATATTCACTCAATATAGTCGCACTAATAAATGCCACTAATGAGGCTTTAGTAGCATTTACTAGTGTTGCTAGAATTCAAAGCATATTCCCTACTTGATAGCCAAAATGATAAAAGGGGACAACAATTAATAAAAAAATATTATTTATTATATAATGGTAAATAAACCTGCATCAATGAATATTAATTTCGTCGTGCAATTTTGAATCAAATGCATGGTGTATATATATTTAATAAAAGATAATTAATCGATTAGTTGCACAATTTGACCAAATAACCCCTTTTTTTATATACAATAAGTTCATTATACTTAAAGTGTTTATATATACAACTGTCACTTTCAAGTCATAGATCCATAATGAATAGTCCCAAAACCAACAAAAAAATATAACCAAAAAATCATTTTGCTCTACGATGTCCAAAAGTCTTCATCAAAATGCAAAGTATCTTCAATACCCTCCACGTTAACAATTTCCTAAAAAAACAAATACATTAGTCAATGGTGGATTGACTTGGGTCAGTTCATATTAGGTTTGTGCACGGGTTTGGGACCGAACCGATTGGCCCGAAGCGGGTCAAAAGAAGTAAATCGGACCGGGCTGGATTCCGATCGAGTTGTACGGATATGAACCAAACTGGATGATCCAACCCGTGCAAAGCAAGTGGAGTGATTCAGGGTTCGGACCCCCACTTGGTCCAACCCGTTCCGGATTCGGGTCGACCCACATCATCTTGTGCCGGGTCGAGCTGGTTGCATGAATAATGGTTGGACCAGACGACCCAAACCGGGCAAAACAAGCGGTACCAAGCCATCCCGTCCAAGGTCTATTTTGGATTTGAGTCAACCCGGATCGGTATATGTTGGATTGGGTCAGACCAGGTTGAATTGGTTTGGACTTGGGTCAAATTGATTTGGATTTATGTTGGGTGAAGTGTGTTAATTCAAGACAAAACTAAATTTAGTCAATAATTAATAGAAAATTAATGCATTAATTATAAATTATTTAATTCAAATGAAGAAAATAAACAAAAAGACTAAGAAATTAATACTAATGTCCATAATGATTAATTCAACGGTTATCCACAACCCAACCCAACCCAACCCAACCCAACCCATTTAAATGGGTGAATTGGTGCAACCCCCGTCAAATAAATGAATAGATTGGACAGATTAAATACTGGGTGAAAAATTGCCACCCATAAGGATGACCGTGCAGGTTGTGTAGCCCTGGTCATGGAACAACAGATTTTAAAGGCCTCGCATCTTTTTCCTATGTATCGCATGCAACCTCCCTGGTATACATATAAATACAGCTTCTGACTCATCATTTAAGGACTCTTTACAAAAATTTCTCAGATAATAACTCTGTTAATGATTTATACTTTTTGATGATCATTAGGGTGTGTTTGGTTGCAAATTGCAATGCAAAATTTGCATTGATGCAAATATATAACGGCACAAATGATGAGTGTAAATTCTGATCTATTTTTGTTTTAATTTTTAACTTATTTTGTTTGATTACAGTACAAATGAAATAAATTAAATCATAAAACAGAATAAAATAAAACATAAAACAAAATTAAACGAGAACTTTTCATTTGCACTTCCATACATTTATACTGGTACAAATAAAATTACACTGCAACCAAATACAACCTTAATAAACATATTTCCACAGTTCCACTAATTAGTAACTTAATATATTACATCATTTGATATCTCTCTCTCTATATAAGTAAACCTCATGCAAACAAGTGAAGAGGAAATGAGCTTACTTCTACTAATGGAATATTCCAGAACCATATGTGTATGACATCATGTCAACAAAGAGGGGGAACTGTAGAAAAGCAAACAGTGTTGCTGGGACTACACCAAGTGAAGCCAGGATAATGGAAATCGGTCCCTGTCTATTTCTAAGCATGATAAACATGGTTGAACTAAAAGTTGCCATCATTGACGCTATAGATAAGAAGAGCATTGCGAGTCCAATTATCAATTTTCGAGGCAAGGATTCGAGGAAATCGATCTCGGCATAGCGTGAGGTGAGGATGGACAAGAACATCAGCATTGAGGTTGAAGCAGAGAAGAGAGCAAATGCATCCGATATCACGAAAACCAAGAAAGAATGAGAATGCTCGAAAATGGGTGTCCCTGTGTCACTTCTGATGCCTCCCGGTACTGTAAATGCTGCAGCAAACATCATTGTGATAATGAGAGCAGCTGCAACTGTGCACGATGCTGCTGTTTCCTTCATCCAGCTTTCTCCTTTGGCAATCAAATCCTTATGCTCCTCAGAAAATAAGAGTTGGGGTGTCAGGCCTTGTGAGTTTTTGCGTTCCTTGTATTTTGGAGGTGCCAACATCTCTATCGCCTGGATTTATTATAGAAGATATAAATTTCTAACAAGAAAGAAAGAAAAAAATAAAGAGAAAAAGTTAAGAGAATCATCGAACAGTTCACCTTAAACCATTGGAGTTCTCTCTGCAATTGAAGAGCTGCACCAGAGACGCTATGGAGTTGATGAGGTGGTGCTAGCTTTGCAGCCAAATGCAAAATGTTGTTCATATAGATATCTCTATCAAATGTTCTCAGTGTTATCTGTCGACCCTTTTTGTTTAACATTTTGAAAACCTTTTCTTGTCTGTTCAGTACAGCCACTTGCATTATACAACGGAGATTTGCATCTGGGTACTCAATCAAACGAGGATAATATTTAAGAGCTATTTCTACAAATTCAACAATTCCAAACTCTGCAGCTACAATTAGTGGTGGTCCAAGTAACTGTTCAACTTTATGGTCGTTTTTTATCATCATTGTAACTTTCTTAAAGAGTTGCTTGACAAGTTCACGAGATTGCAAATGCATCAGCTTTCTTCTGCGGACCTCCTTAATACTTGGTACTGCAGTTAAAAACAAGTCGGAGTATAGTTAAGTACTCTTGTCAGCTAATTAACAAGCTAAGAACAATAGATTTTGTTCTTCTCAGATAAAGAACAAGAACAACAGATATATGTAGCAAACCAAGAGCAAACCCAGACCAATGGGATTAAGAATCAAGATTTAAATAAAATAGTAAATAAACAAGCATGTTTTTTACCTATTTGTTGAAGAACATCCCAAAATAGTTTATTACTGTAGCAAAGCACTGCAAATGAAATCGGATGAATATGGAGCTGTCAATCAATTCAATGCATGTACTACACAAAAGAGCACGAGAAACACATAGTACTATACACACACACACAGACTGTATTTATGCACCATGTAATATAACTCACGTTGATGTGTACTGGATCTTTGAGGGAAACCATTGGAAACTTGTTCTTCCTTCACAGGATCCTCCTCATCCTTGTAATATTTCTTTGCTGTGTGGCTATGGGTATCAGGAAATTCAACATGGACCCCTGTCAAACATATTGGGTGGTACTGATTATTAATGCAACTTTTCTGTATCAGCCATTGCGTGAACTTAAGCCTCAGTTTGGGAAGAGTGCAAATGCAAATATGTTCAGTGCAAAACCTTGTAAACCATATTTTTAAACCTTGTATCTGTATTCCTTCCAAATACATTGGAGAACTACAAATACATACAAAATCTTAAGGTTTTGCGCTCTACACATTTGTATTTGTACCCCTTCTAAATGCAGCCTAAAGCACTAAATAAAGGAGTTTTATATGCTCAGAGAAACATGAAACAGGCAGATAAGTAACAAACATGTGCAAAATAAGATTGGGAAGGGAATACTGACATGAATAGAGCTTCCTATGCCAAAATCCAAGCCGTCTTCTGCTTTTGAATGCATAAGGCTTTCTTGCCAAAAAATCCAATGCTGTCTCATCATTTTCATAAGGAGTACTGGCTGCGTTTGGGCAGCGATGCAAAAGATCCAAAGCCATGCCTAAAATTGCAAACACAAAATAGACCAATGGATCTGGGTCTGCTATGAATAAGAATTCCAACCACTAAGCTTTATAATTAGATTAGTTTGGGTAATAATTCAGCTCAAAAGGATTTTCTGGCAATTGCAAAGGGGATGCTCTACACCAATGTGATTGAAGGGACTAAAGCTTCTTCTATTTCCATCGAGACAGCTGAGTAGAAATAGAAGGTCAGGTCAGCTTACAAGGTGGGTTTCCTTTTCCCTAGAGAATGGGAGCAAGGTGGCGATGGAGTTTGGGCCTTTGGGGAAGAAGGGAGAATTTGACAAGCTTTAAAATTCCACTACTTGGGTCCAATATTGTTAACATACCATAATTTAGAAAATAGTGAAATTTAACTTTTTAGAATCCAAATATGCTCTTTGGGTGGATTTCAAAATTCCCAGTGAGAAAGGGAGTCGATATAGCAGCAGCTAGTCACCTTAACTCAGCAGAATTGGGTGACAGTGGAAATCATTTCATTTCCACCCACTGATCAAAGAAGAGATTATGACGAAGTCAGTTTTAATGATGTAATAATAATGCTGAATTAGAGGCAACTTACCATAGCATTCAGCATTAATCAGGTGAATAAGAACTGCCACACAGTCTTCTAAATTTGAATTTAGATCAGCATCTGTGGCGCGGCTGTAGAGGTACGATAGTACATCCTTTCTAGAAAATACTGCAGCTGAAAGGAGTGGGGTCATTCCATTACTGTCACGGATATGGAACAAACTTTGGTTCCTTTCTAGCATTACCTCTGCCATCCTTTTGGTCCCTCCTTCAGCAACAAGGTGTAAAGCAGTAGAAGCAACACAGTTCTGTCTTGCCAAGCTTTCTGGTGGTGTGATCTTCACCAACTCTATCACAAACTGTGTGTTCCCATACAGTGCTGCAATGTGAAGAGCAGTGTTCGACCATTTATCAAGACCTGCGGCCAATGCTTCTGAGTGCTTGTCAATAAACCATTTAGCCATTTTCCAGTCACCATTTAATGCAGCATCATACAAGATTCGGTATTTACTCAAGCCTTCGCCACCATCATCACCTAGCACTGCAAATGATATACTCATCAATCTCTTCCAAGTTCCATCCATATTTAAATAAAAGACAGAATTGAAGCCAATTGTATCGGCCTTGAGTCTTTCAGAATATGCAAACCTTCAACACCCAAGTTTCATCATACCAGTTCATACAAAATTGGTGAAAGATACAAGACTGTATCTGTGACTGAGACGGTTTAAGCTTAAGGAGCAGGTTTTTGGATCTAAGACAAACATGGTGCGCTATAGAATGGATAGATTCAAATGGGATTTGCTAATTTCAATTTTGTAGTGGATTAAATCACTAATATAATAGGGTACAAGTGGGGCAGGCTCGGCCAGGTTTAAATTCAACCCAGGTCCAACCCTAAAATTTGGTCCTAATGCCTGACCCCAGACCAAGCTCGAGATCAAGCCCGAACTGTCTAACTAGGGCCCAACCCATACTGAAATTTGAAGCAATTGGGTTGGGCTTGGGTTGGTCAATCAATCCTGACTAAAAGTTGATATAATTAAATGATGTATATATGTATGCGTGTATGCATATATGTATGTTTTATTAAAAAAAAAGTATGCAATATGTGTCTATATGCATATATATGGCTTCAACTACGATACCAGAAAAACTTACAACCAATCAACCACCATCCTAAAAGAGATGACCAATTGGATGGTATTCATCAAAATTCATGGGGTGCTTTGATTGGTCAAAGCTCTTTTAATATCATGTCTTTCCTGTATCATAGATTTTCCTTTACATATATAACTGGACTAGACTCGGGCTAAGTAAGGGATAGACTCAAGCTCAGCTCAAAAAATTAAAACAAAAAAAAAAAAACTAAACTTTTTGGGCCCAGATCCAGCTCAATGACAGAAAATCCAACCCAGCCCCTGTAAAATTGTGGGCTAGATTGGTTTGGGCTCAGATTGAGCCCACCCAAGTTGCACCCCGAAACATGTCATTGATGTTTAGTGATCAAATAAAAAACAGATCATTCTGGTCTTTTGATCGAAAAACAAACGAGAAAAAATCGGCTGCCACTGACCCGCCAGTGTTTTAAAAGGAAAAAAAAATCAGTCAAGGTAATGTTTTGTTATTGCCTTTTCAAATGCTGGTTTGTTGGCTTTCCACTGGGGTCGCATGTAACCACGGTCACAGCAGATATGAACTCAAAACAAAGAGCTACCTATCTGTGCTTATTGGGGTCACAAGTCACTGCACCAAAGTAGGGTCACAAAACAAATGTGATATAGCAATCAGAGTTGCAACATTTCCTTGGAACCACCGAATAAAATTAAGGGTAAATTTCTGAAACATCGAAGTTTTTGACCATTGCTGAAACTTTCAGCTTAGAACAAATATAAATACAAATATGTAGAGTGTAAAACCTTGTATTTTGTATTATTTTCTATGTATTTATATTGTACATATTTATATTTGTACTTCTTGCAAACTGAGCCTGAAGTTTTATAATTGCAATTATCTCTCCTAAACTTTTAGACAGTTGCAAGTAGATTTTTTTTTGTTAAAATCTTCTAATAAGAGGCACACGAATATCCAAAATACCTATATAATTGATTGGTATTGATTCTGATAAGCTGATTTCTACAGAAAAACAATACAAACTTTACGAACAACAACAAAAATAAAAGAGTTTAAAGTTATAGTTTTACCTTCAAGCAATTACTATGAAGTGAAATTTTGAAAAATAGATTGGAGGCTTGTTTAGTGATTGATATGAAGAAAATTTTGGAAAATAAACACTTTGGTCAAAAGCAACTGCATGGGTATTTTAGACATTTTCGTACCTCTTATTAGAAGATTCTAACTACTTGCAACCGGTTCAGAAAGTTCAGTGGAGGTGATTGCACTTACCAAACTTCCAAGGGTGGTTTCAGCAACAGCCAAAAGCTTAAGAGAGGTTTCAGCAATTTACCCTAAAATTAAATATGGACACACTAGGCAATAGGGGTGAGCAAGAAAAACCGAAAATCCGAATAGACCGAAACCGAATGTTCAGTTCAGTATTTAAAAAAAATCGAAGGTACTGGTTCGGTTTTGATTAACCAAAATAGAAAACCGGCGGTTAACCGAACCGATCGGTATACATATATTTATATATATTTTATGTATATTGTATGTCTATATTATATATTATATATTTTTTATACATTATAAATTAATAAATATGCAATATATATAATATATAATATATTATTTAATATTTAAAATATAATATTTTATATATATTTCTAGTATTTTATTATATTTATATATTTTTTATAATATATATTGCAAATAATAAAAAACCAACGAACCGAATCAATGATCAATCAGTTAATCGATCGGTTTCGATTCAATTTTATATTTAAAATATAATATATATTGTGTCCATCTTTTGCTGGTGGTTACCATCGAAAATGCGGTGACCATTGTCGCAGCTTCATCAGAAAGTGATGCTTTGAAAAACCCAGCTTCACATTGATCTGGACAGGATTTTTTTCTTTTTTTCTTTTTTTTCTTTTTGTAATTTGTTACTTACCTTCCTTCATCTTCTGAGAGTGAGAACAAAGGGTCTCTGTAATTTTTCTCCTCCTGCCCCATGCTGACCTGCACTCATTAGCCAAAGCTTTCCATGCGTCACTGGCTGAAGCCGAAGTCTTGACATGGGAAAACATAACGGCTCCACATGAAATCTGAATCGCATGCAGAGCTTTACTATTCTTTTCTTTCCAGGCTGCGTAACTTGGATCGCCAGTAGGCGGTTGACATTCTGTTTCATCCACAACGCTCCAAAGGCTTTGCCCCACCAAATAGTTCTTCATCAAAACTTGCCACTCGTCGTAGTTATCGTACGTGAGAACTTCACGAACGATGTCTTTTGACAGCGATGACATGGTGGCTTTTCTCAAAAGCTGAGGAAATTTTAGTTAATTCAGCTAGAATACCAAATAAATTAAAAGGAGGAAGAAGAAAGACAGAGAAGCATGTAAGCACGTAAAGGGATGATGATGTCAAAGAAAAGCTTCCAAACGCCTTACCGCCAGATGGGTTTCTGTCCAAAGTCGCTCTTGGTTGAGCTGAACTGAAGATGGCTACCGGAATATCAGTCCAAATTATGTGGAACTGGAAAGCTATAGGGATATGGTTGATAGTTAGAAAAGATGAAGTATTTATAGACTGAGGCAAGATGCTTTTGTGGGAGTACAAGAATAAAGGTACGTGATTTGAAAGCTGTAAGGTGCCTTCTGTTTATTCTATCTAGAGCAACGCCAAAATGAAAGCGTTCTGATTATTAAGAGCCGCCTTGAACTGTACTACTGTTATGTGTCATCCATGTGAAGAGAATTGAAACCCATTCATATTGAAAGGTTATTCAATCATGATAGCATATTTGATATTTCAAATTGAGAATTATGCTTTGGATATCTTCTGGTAATATACTTCTTAGAATCTTGGTAACTTTGAAAATATAATAAGAAAAAAATTGGGTAAATTACTTAAATATACCTCAGGTTTGAGGTAGATAATTAGGTATACCGTGTATTTTCTATAATTACTATATGAGATCCGTGAGATGCACGGATTACCAACACCAATACACCTCTAAAAGTATCCAGATTGTAGAACAACATTCAGCACTCAAATTTTAAAACAATATTCTTTATATTTAGATTTCAGCACCAATAAAAATTTATCAACTTCAATACATCTCTAAATGTAATTATTATAGTTTAAGAAGTATTTAGATGTCAGAGTTCAGTGCAATTCATGCTTAGAGTGCACAACTTTGTGCCACGACAACATTAAGGGTAGTTGATGTGGCGTAATCTGCCTGCTCCCTGTTGGATACGATCTGGCTACCAGTAACGACGAGAACTAAGGTTCTTGTAATAAATGAGTCAGAGATCCCGGGGTGGCTTACCCGGTGGGGACATTCCGATGGCTAAGTTAGCACTTTAGTAGTAGAGAACTTGAAGATGATAACAGAGAATTAGAGAGCTAGAGAGCAGAGATCACGCATTACCTTCGCTCCTAGGAGGCTGAGGTCTTTATATACTGGAGCCCTGACGGGTTTGGTGGAATAGGTCCTAAATTTCCACTGCGGCAGGTCCTGTTATCGTGTTAGTTGGGAGTAACGTCTCCCGCTGTGAGGTTGGCCATCTCCGTCTGAATCGGGGAGTGGGTGAGCTAATATAGCCATTGCAAGGTACGACTACGTAAGGTGTGGGATACGGAGGTGAGATCCTCGGGGTTATCATGCGGAGGTCGACCTGACTAGGTAGTGGGCTGCCTGTGAAGTGCCGGGCTGCTTGGTGGTGAGCTGCCTAGTGGCGAGCTGTCTGAGCTCGTGCACTTCAGACCCGTCCTGCTCTGAATGTCGAAGTGCCTTAGTGCCGAGGTGATTTTGCACTATGGGCTGGTCTCGAGGTGGATTCTTTCCGAAGTGGGCCCAACTGTTCGGGCACGATCTGTAGTGGATTTGGCACCGTTGTCCTGGTCGCGAACTGGTACTGGGATGATCTTAGCCCGAAGTAACTTTAGTTCGGGGTACAGGGTACCCAAGGTCGCTTTGTAGCAAACTGATTTATGCTGAGGTGTCACTTGTGTTGAGTCATGTCCACGTGCCGATCTGATCATGTTGAGTTGTCACTTATGCCGAGTCACATCCACATGTTTCCCTACTATGGGGTCGGGCCATATTCCCCTTCATCAATTGCCCTCCACTCCCCGAGCTAGGGGTCTTGACCTAGTGTGGGGAGTTCACGATGTGACAAGTGGATTTGGCTCGAAGTCCAGGCTACTCTATTAGATTGCATGTGGTTTACGCGCGGACGTCACATGATCTATAAATTCCGCGGATGCCAAAAAACACGCTAAACTATCTTCGATCTCGAGGGTCGTGCAACCGGTTTTCTTAGGAGCCGTCAGATTGCTTTGATCTTGACCGTTGCTTCTTTGGTACAGTGGCAATAAATAGGGGGACCCGAGGCTCATTTTTCTCGTCGTGAATTCTGTGATTAAGCTCTCCTAAGGTTGCGTCGAAGTCTTCCAGCTCGGTCTTCTTTTGGTTTTCCACTTCGTCCTTTCTTTTCGGTGAGTCCTCGTTCCTTAGTTTTTTCCTGCTTTTCAATCATGTCGAGTCCTAGTGTAGATAGGCTCTTAGATAGTGCTAGCGAGGTGGAGGGTGCTGCTATCCCTGTTGGGGAGGTCAGCTCTCATAAGGGTGCCTCCCCTCTTCAGTCTTTAGAGGGAACCTCTATCCCTGAAGTCGAGCCATCTCGGCTCGGGGAGACCGAAGCTCAGGAAGTGGGTCCGTCCTCCAGATCAGGGCCCTATCTTCTTTCCGAGGTCGGGATCCCGACGACTTCGGTCCTTCCACCTTAACTTCTGACAGGTTAATGTACTTAGTGTCCCGCTACCGCCTTCCCGACAGTTTAGTTTTTAGTCTTCCTCTAGGTCAATTTCCTTGGGCTCATGATCACCATGAGCTCGCCATTTTTGAGGAGCAGTTCGCGGCAGGGGTGCACTTCCCTCTTCATCATTTTTTGATAGAAATAGTTAGGTTTTACAACATCACTATTGACCAGCTTCATCCGAACTCTATTCGAAAAATAGTTAGCACTATTTCTTTGTTCCACGCCTATAATCAACCTTTAACCCTTGACATCTTCAACTCGATCTACACGATTAAGTGAAACTCAGCCTGTTTGTGCGGGGATGTAAGACAGAGCTATTACATCACTCCCAGGCCCAGATTCAAAATCCTGTCTGGCTACCCGAACAAGGTTCCGGCCTGGAAAAGGTGGTATCTCATCGTCCGTAACCTGGAAGGGTGATCTTTCCCAACCCACTGGAGGGGTGGCTACCAAGGACCCCGGGGTGAGCTTGGATGTAGAGATCAGGGCAGTGATTAATTCTTGGAGGGACCTCGACCTCGAGATGAAAAGCTTCTTGGCCGAGGATGCGCTGGTGCGAGCTGGTTTGAGCCCTCCCAGTAGGTTTCTTTTTCGGGTACTTATTTAAAATATCTTTTAAGCTTTTTGACTAACTGTCTTATTTTTTGCAGCCACAATGCCAGAGATCGATGCAGCGAGTCTCTTGAGGAGTTCCCAGAAGGGGAAGAAGTGGAGGGCCGCGAAGAGACCTCGCCAGGAAGCCGGGTCTTTACCCTCTGGCCCAACAGAGGTTCTGGCTGTGGAGCCGATCTCCACTAAGCCCCCCAGGGACCGCTTTGGGGGGAAGCTCATCCCTAGGAGCTGGGAGGCTCGTCTGTGCCCGAGGTGGTAGACACCAAACCAGAGAGCGCTCCCACAAGCATGCAAGAAAGTATAATGGATCACAGGCTTGCGGTGCGCAAGAGCCGAGATGCCGTCTTCCCTGACGAGGTCGCGAAATGGCTGACATGCCTTAAGCTTGGCTCTTGGGACTAGCCGCTAGCCACTGTATGGTGGTAAGTTTACTGACCTTGGTTTTCTTTTGCTTGGCCAACTTTGCTATTCACGCGCTGGCTTGCCAATCTGCGATCCGTTCAAAGGAAGCTCAGGACGCCAAGGTGGAGGTGCGGAAGCTTCACTGCGAGCTGGACCTAGTTCGGGGCGAAGTACTTCATGCTAAAAAGGGAGCTGAGGGCCAGAAGCAGCTGATCTTGGTCCAGGAAGGGCAGATCTCCGCACTGACTGAGGAGAAGGCGCGGCTTTAGCGAGAGGTTGAAAACCTCTAGGCCATCGTCTAGGAGCATACCCAAATCCTCGAGACCGCCATCCAGGAGGCGCGGATAGAGGAAAGAAAATAGATCGTTGAGCGCTTCAAGGAGTCCCCAGAGTTTCGCGCTCTGCAGGTTGAATATGGCTCGAGCTTCTATCGCTCCGGGTTCAAGTTGTGCAGGTAACTGGTCCGGCAGAAGTTCCCCGACCTTGACCTCGGTGCCCTTACGATATCGGGCATAGCCCCCGGAGTGGCCAAGGCAGCGGACGAGGAGCCCGACTCGTCAGGGGAGGAGAGCAATGACGAGGTCGAAGTGGTGGACCCCTACGCGTGATAGCTTCTTCTATTTCTTTTTCTTCTTGAATCTTGGATGTACACCCCGAAGCCACTAAGCTTGGGTTATAGCAAAACTCCTGTACTTGAACTTTTTTTTATCAATGAAATATACTGTTTTTGCGCAAAAGATATTTAAGTATGGATAACTTCCGATCTATGCAGCATATGTTTAGGTTACCCGAATTGTCGAGCTACCGAGCTGGGCAACAAGTAAGGATAACCATAATAGGAAATTTCCTAAGTGTCCGCTACCCCGAGCTGTCTGCAAAGGCTTAGTAGGGGTAACTCCACGCAATGCACTCTGCACGGGATACTTGCTTGAATGCCGGTTTGTCCTTTTTGGTCCCGTCCTGCCGAGGTCTTCGTCAATTCGGTGTTTTTAGCCCTTAGGCTCTGGGAGCAACTTAAGGTCCACTCTCCTTGGTTTTGCCCATGCCGAAGAGGCGACAGGGTCTTGTAGTATTTTAGCACTTAGGCTTTTAGGAGGGACTCGAAGTCCACTCTTGGATTTTGCCCATGCTGAAGAGGCGACTGGGTCTTGTAGTATTTTAGCCCTTAGGCTTTTGGGAGCGACTTATAGTCCACTCTCGTTGATTTTCTGGGAGTGACACTCAGTCCGCTCCCCTAGTTTGACGATTACAGGTAGTATCATCTTAAATTGCTGATGTTCCAAGCCCGTGGTACCTATTTTCCCTCTAATGTTTCAAGCTCGTATGTACCTTCCCCGAGTGCCCGCTTCACTCGGTAGGGACCTTCCCAGTTTGGTTAAAGCTTACCCACACCGGGCTCAGGTACCATAACTTTCCGAAGGACTAGGTCTCCGACACGAAAGAGTCTCTTTTTTACCCGGGCATTATAGTACCGAGCTAGCCTTTGCTGGTAAGCTGCAGTCTGAATATACGCGAGGTCCCATACTTCTTCTACCAGGTCGAGGTTAGTACAGAGCTCGTCATAGTTTGCTTCTCTGTCGTAAGCCTCTAGGCGTAATGTAGGTACTTCAATTTCGGCTGGAATTACTGCTTCCGTGCCGTAGGTGAGGTTAAAGGGGGTTTCACCTGTGGTGGTCTTGATGGTAGTTCGA